AGGAGGATCTGATGGTTCACAGTATCAAAGGCAGCAGACAGGTCTTGAAGGACAAGAGCAGAGGAGAGAGAGTTAGCTTTAGCAGTGCAGAGAGCCTCCGTGACACAGAGAAGAGCAGTCTCAGTTGAATTACCAGTCTTGAAACCTGACTGGTTTGGATCAAGAAGGTCATTCTGAGAGAAATAGCAAGAGAGTTGGCTAAAGACGGCACGCTCAATAGTTTTGGAGAGAAAAGAGAGAAGGGATACTGGTCTGTAGTTGTTGACATCAGAGGGATCGAGTGTTGGTTTTTTGAGAAGGGGTGCAACTCTCGCTCTCTTGAAGACGGAAGGGACATAGCCAGCGGTCAAGGATGAGTTGATCAGCGAGGTGAGGTAAGGGAGAAGGTCACCGGAGATGGTCTGGAGAAGAGAGGAGGGGATAGGGTCAAGCGGGCAGGTTGTTGGGCGGCCTGCCATCACAAGTCGCAAGATTTTATCTGGAGAGAGAGGGGAGAAAGAGGTCAAAGCATAGGGTAGGGCAGTGTGAGCAGGACCAGCAGTGTCATTTGACTTAACAAACGAGGATCGGATGTCGTCAACCTTCTTTTCAAAATGGTTGACGAAGTCATCCACAGAGAGGGAGGATGGGGGGGTGGGGGGGGGGGGGGGGGATTCAGCAGGGAGGAGAATGTGGCAAAGAGCTTCCTAGGGTTAGAGGCAGATGCTTGGAATTTAGAGTGGTAGAAAGTGGCCTTAGCAGCAGAAACAGATGAAGAAAATGTAGAGAGGAGGGAGTGAAAAGATGCCAGGTCCGCAGGGAGTCTAGTTTTCTTCCATTTCTGCTCAGCTGCCCGGAGCTCTGTTCTGTGAGCTCGCAATGAGTCATCAAGCCACGGAGCTGGAGGGGTGGACCGAGCCGGTCGGGAGGATAGGGGACATAGAGAGTCAAAGCATGCAGAAAGGGAGGAGAGGAGGGTTGAGAAGCCAGAATCAGGAGATTGGAGGGAGAAGGATTGAGCAGAGGGAAGAGATGATAGGATGGAAGAGGAGAGAGTAGCGGGAGAGAGAGAGCGAAGGTTGCGACGGCGCATTACCATCTGTGTAGGGGCAGAGTGAGTAGTGTTGGAGGAGAGGGAGAGAGAAAAGGATACAAAGTAGTGGTCGGAGACTTGGAGGGGAGTTGCAGTGAGATTAGTAGCACAACAGCATCTAGTAAAGATGAGGTCAAGCGTATTGCCTGCCTTGTGAGTAGGGGGGGACGGTGAGAGGGTGAGGTCAAAAGAGGAGAGGAGTGGAAAGAAGGAGGCAGAGAGAAATGAGTCAAATGTAGACGTAGGGAGGTTGAAATCCCCCAGAACTGTGAGGGGTGAGCCATCCTCAGGAAAGGAACTTATCAAGGCGTCAAACTATTAGGCTATTTCTTCACATTATAAGCGCAACAATGCGCACACGGCAGTAGGCTATAAGCAGGAATGTTCCATTAGCGGAAAACACCATTATCAAAAGTGACGCAAATACGATTATGCATGTAATGCTTTTATTATAAAGGTGCATTTCTATGGTGAAAATGATCTTCCCCAAACTTGAAACTCATGCGCTGCTTATGTATGCCAGTTAGGCTCTACGCCCCTTGTAAAGTGGATTAATGTGCTTAATTTTAAGAAGTTATCACTTTAGTTGTGATACAAACCTTATCAAAACATATAGGCCTATGGGCTAGGTTACATGAGGTGTGCGACTATGATTCGAAAAAGTCAACAACAAAAAAGGCATTGTTTCTTGCCTTAAGCTGGGCATCATTCACAAGTGATAATATATCATTCACAAGTGATAGGCTAATATTGTCACCCATCAGACTATTCTTGACTTAATCTTGTCTTTACATATACTAAATAATATATGTGTGAAATTCGTTTTGATTTAGAATGGACCATTATCATGCACCTGTCTCGAAACAGGGGCAGGGGAAAAAATACATGTCAACTCCAAAACTAACCTTAATTTACTCATTGTGACGCACTGAGGATTCAAACTCAGTTTTAGACGAGACTGACTTTATGACCAAAATGATCCTATTTAGACTTTGTAGTAAATTTTGACACTAGAATAAATGTTTCTGACTCATATAGATGCCACATAGGTCGTTTTGAAAGGGATTAGTTGCTTTTTAGGGGCAGAGGAAAAAATTAATTGTAAACATAACTATTGTAAGACTTAAAACTATTCCAAATGCATGCATGTCTGAGATGTCTCTGACAACTCACAGTATAGTTTGGCAGCCATTTAATTCCATTTCAAGTGGACCTTCCGAAGTCTGAACATGGCCCTACCTGATTGATCTGTTAGATTAACTGATGAATAATCTTCACAAAACTAAATTAAATGTGTGTCTAGATTCTCACAAGGTTTGGGAATGCTGTAAGTGGACATGCTGCAAGATGGGATTTCTAAGAACAGCATCACGCTCTCGAGGATGGCAAAGAAACTTTAGAGTATCTGTCTCAAATGCATGAAAACACTTCAGAATAGAAAAGGACAGAGAATGGACTGAGTTAATGTCCTCATCCACAGTTCTGCCACAAAAGAAAGGTAGGTTACATCCTGACATATAAGTGCTTGAAAAAAAACGGAATGAAAACCCACCTTTTCATTTGAAAACGGTTGTTTAGGGCTGTGATTTATAGGTTTAATCTGTAATATGTGCAGCACCAATTTGGACTTTTAATAATATACAGCCATTGATTCCTGAAGAATGAAACTTGACGCATGTCTCATGAGCTTAGTTCAACTGTCTAACCCCATCAGAACCTAAAATAGAATTTTGTTTTACACCATTATTTATAAACAATGTAATTGTAAACAACACTGTATAGTCTCAAAACATGGTTCAAACTATACTGATCAAAAATATAAACGCAACATGTAATGTGTTGGTCCCATGTTTCATGAGCTGAAATAAAAGATCCCAGAAATTTTCCATACGCACAAAAAGCGTATTTCTCTCCAATTTTGGGTACACATTTGTTGACATCCCTGTTAGTGAGCATTTCTCCTTTGCCAAGATAATCCATCCACTTGACAGGTGTGGCATATCAAGAAGCTGATTAAACAGCATGATCATTACACAGTTGCACCGCTTGCTTGGTGGTGCCCCTTGCTTAGTGGTATTGCAGACTCTGGGGCCTTTCAGAACAGGTGTATATAAACTGAGATCATGTGACAGATCTTGTGACACTTAGATTGCATACAGGTGGACTTTATTTAACTAATTATGTGACTTCTGAAGGTAATTGGTTGCACCAGATCTTATTTAGGGGCTTCATAGCAAAGGGGGTGAATACATATGCACGCACCACTTTTCCATTATTAATTTTTTTGAATTTTTTGAAACAAGTTCTTTTTTTTCATTTCTTTTCACCAATTTGGACTGAAACAACGTTGATTCAACCAGTTTGTGCCCAGAGGGTGGTTCCTATCATCAAGAAGAATGTGAAGCGTCAGAGTATGATAGTCAGTGATGAGTGGAGAGTGGAGAGTGTATTAAAGTCTCTCACAGGAGGGCTACAGACCCACGGACAGGTCTGCACACTCAGGATATTGAGAGGGTGTGGCAGACTTACAAGAAGGAAGTGTGGCGTCTGCGTGGAAACCGATCAGGCCACTTTCAGAACGTTCTCTTGCAGCCAGCAGGTTGTCCAGCCGGATGGCCATGTCCACCAGCTGGTCGAATGTCAACATGACATCCCAGCAGGCTAGCTCCCTTCGGACGTCCTCTCGTAGGCTGCACCGGAATCTGTCGATGAGGGCCCGCTCGAGAGGCAGGAGATGAGGGCGGACACTTTCTCCCGCTCCGATGGAGCCGCGCTGATGGTTGAGAAGTAGAGGTCCAGCTGCAGGAGGAATCCTTGCAGCGGGCAGCTGTCCCGTCAAAATCCCTCGGTCGGGATAGATTAATCCCTCTGGGTGCTGGGGTGTGGATGGCTGAGTCCGGTCGCTCAGCTGGTCCCGAAGGTTCGGGTCCCTCCTCTCCAGGCGTTGGACGACCTGGAGAACCCGATCCATCGCTTCTCCCAAGCTGGCTAGCATGGTAGAATGCTCCCATATCCGTTCCACGACTCCAGGCATGTTCTCTTCTCCTGCTGACACCATGACGGGTGTGTGATTCTGTGGTGAGTGATTTTGAAGGAGTCAGGCACAGGAGAGTAAATCACAGAATAAAAGTTTTTTTCCGAAAACACAGCGGTACGCAGCAATGCAGTGCGGAAATCAGGTGCACTGGAAACAAGAAGGCACACGGGTGAAATATCCCAGCGATACAACATACAAAGAGCTCCACCGAGCTAATCTAACCTCCACAATAAACAATCACACAAAGACAAGGGGGCAGAGGGAACACTTATACAGGTACTGATGAGGGGATATGAACCAGGTGTGTGTAACAAACAAGACAAAACAAATGGAATGATGAGATGAGGAGCGGCAGTGGCTAGAAGGCCGGTGACGACGACCGCCGAAGCCTGCCCGAGGCAGCTTCGTAGGAAGTCGTGACAACTGCTTATACTCCAAACACAAAATGTTGTAAAGAGTTTTTATTTAGAGTGACAAGAGAACATATTTTTTTTTACATAATTATTTGTAATTGTTTATTTATTAATTAATTGCACAGACAGATTTGTTGGTTTGTTTCTCTTTCATTAATTAAAAGATACAGGAGCCTGTCCGTAGTTATTTAGTCCTTCCTGCCTAAGAACTTTTGCATGTACAGTTAAAGTAGTACCAGTCACCCTTCTCTCTAATTAGTGAGAACACCACTGGGTCTCTATGTATTCTCTCGACCAGAATGTCCTCATGCGCACAGACAACAAAGTCACACCACTCCAACACAGTGATGTAGAGCTGACCTTGAACTTGCCAGTAGTAGGCATGCTTCCTCTTCAGGGAAGGTTCACCGTTATGCATGTGAACGTACTTGCAATCAGTCACTGGCTGCTTCCATCTCCAACTTTCAGCTAGATTACCTGCGGATGTCAGCCCTCTGAACCGTGACGAGGTCAGTCTTGGTTTCCAGAGCACCTGCCAGTCAGAGACAGTACTCTGTTCTCTAGTAGCTTCCTCTATTTTATGGGCTGTTGCGAAGCTCACCTGAAGAGACTCTATGTGAAGCTGGTCTTCTTCACTGAGCACAAATGTGCAGCCTTGAAAGTTGCTCTCCAGTCTCTAGCCATCCGGGGGCAATGAAGGGAATGGTGGTGTATCCTTATGGTGAACTATGTGTCACGTTGTGATTGGAGGCTGCTGGTACGACAGGAGGCTCCCCACCTGTACCTTTCCAAAGTGGGAGTCGACTAAAAGCTTTTCAGCAGACATCCCCATGCTGCAGATCAATGGCTTGGATAGAGGGTCAAAGTTATTGTATGACTCTTCTATCTGGAGAACTGAGAGGTCAGGGAGTGGTCCAAAAAGGGCGCTGTAGACTGTACTTCTGCCAAGCAAAGCAGCCACTGTGGTTAGCCAATCTAAACAATGTACTTGAAACCACCTGAAATTGTATATAGTCAAAGTGTAATAGGACATGACCAGCTACTCCTTACTATACTGGCTATTAGGGAATACTCACCTTATCCCTCCTTCTGCCAAGCGCTTTTTGGTGGGCTTGGTGATGGTAATTTTGCCTATGGGCCCAGGATTCAGACCCTGTAAAAAGACAGTACAAGGGCACTATTCTAAATCTAATCATGAGACGATTTAAGTTTTCATTAAATCATTTCTTAGCATTATGATGTGATTATAACCATATGATGTTGATATGTGGTATAGCTATTAAAACATACCATAGTCCTTGGCTTATGCCACTGCTGCTCGGCCTCTGTGCAGCTGTGCACAGGTGGGAGGACTGGTGTTCCCATCTGGGAATAGTGTGCAGACTGGAATAGTAACGCAACTGTGTGGTTGCATAATGCAGTGCCAGCAGCACATGAACAGTGATGTTGTGTCGTTGTTACTGGCTCAGATGGCTTCAGCACAACCTACGTGGGGATATAAAAATAAAATGATTAGACTATAAAATCACTCAACATGTGTCACGACCAGCAAACAGAAGTGACTGGTGCAACATGCAACAGCCACTAAATTCATTACAGCAATACAGGTTTAAACATTACTATTAAGGGTATATGCCCTTGTTAACATTTCATCTAATGCGCCCAACATAACAGAGTTTACAGAAACATGGGTTAAGCCTAGTCCTAGACTAAGCAATGCCTCTTAATGCAGATCGCCATTGACAGGAACTTCTTAGTCTAAGACTAGGCTTAATCTCTGACTGTGTACCCGGCATGTAGTGTGTCACAAACAGCTGACTTTTCACCCTACACTCAAACTGTGTGGTTTCTCATGTTTCCTCATGGACCTGTAGCAGCAAGCCCTTATGCTGACCTCTCCTGTCACTTTGTCCCTGTTCGAAACTGTTTTGAATAAAAAGAATGAGCAATCATAATGTTAGCTAGCTACTGTAAAAGGCATGTCTTAAACTACGTTACAGCTTTGAGTAAACGTCCTTGTCTGGTCTGATAAGCAACTTGGCTACACTTACCTTCATAGTTGAAAAGGTAACTGGAGACATAAAGTTTAAATCCTTTTTCCAACTTGGAGGTCAGTGCTTTGCTAATTGTCTTGGCCAGAAGATGTACATCCGTCACTGTTATCTTTGGCAGCTCTTGTAAGCACCTTGTGTAAAACGGTGCCATGGTTGGTAAGGGAGGGGGGCGTTGGCTAATTGCTAGCCACCTTACTAGTTAGCACGTTAATAGCTAGCTAGCTGAGAGACAAAAAAAGACACAGAACACAATAAATAGAAATATGATTATGTTAATATACTGATTACTTCAGTATATTAATGATAAAACGAGCGACTTCAAGGCTAGTATGGCTACAATCAGGCTGACAGGACGCGATCGGGAGAGGAATCTATGTATCGGGTAGGAAGTTGAGCGGAAGTGGGCGTTGCTCTGTTGTGCAAAAGGACTATTGTCAACGATGGAGCCATCCAAGGGGTACCTTTTGTATAGCTCAATTGGCTTACACGTTGTCAAGGAGGGCATTCACGTGTGTTCGAGCCCAGTATGAGGCAGTCGGATAGTGGAGGAAGCTAAGCTGTTAGCAGCACACTGTTCCCAGTTACAGTGGTGCCTGTGACCCGAATCGGCAGCTGGGCTCAGCTCAACGGCCAGGGTAGCTCGCTGAGTTTAGAAGGGGTGAGTGTAACGGACTTAAGAACGTGCTGTAAGCTCACTCCACAGCTAGATTGAAATGTTGCGGATGGAGCCATCCAATCGGAAGCTTTTGGGTGGCTCAACCAATTGGAACATAGTAAACGAGGGTGGTCACGTGTGTGGCGAAGCAGAGGATCACTGGTTCGAGCCCAGTATGGCGCAGTCGGACAATGGAGGAACTTAAGCTGTTAGCGGCACACTGACCACCGTTACACATACACAATCGCTTTCTGGGTCACCATGATCACACCGTTCTTCAACTGGTCATTCAGTAAAGTACTGTTTCCTTCTAATTGAAAGTTGCACACCATTCTGTCGAACTGAACACACCACTGGCAACATTATGTAAAGAAAAGTTGGTGGGTGATATTCAATTAAAGTTCACAGAGATGAAGAGAAAGGGGGAGCTACTTTCCTTCCAACTAAGATAAGAGGACAAACATGTTGCAGGAAAACAGTACCTTGTTACATTCGATAGTACCGGTACTAACAATATACAAATGTAATTAAACACTCAATCTCAGCCCGACTTGCACTGGCAGCCTTTAGCCATTAGGCCAAAAATGTTGATGGACAATGTTGTAATGTTTGTTAATTCAAAGATTGATTTTAACATTATGCCTCTGATACGTTTCTTCATCACCAACAGGAAAGACACGTTTAAGGGATTGTTTGTTTGTTTCCCTCTTGACTTATTTCCACAGGTGCTTGAGTGTCAAAAGGTCATTTCAGTCAACCCAACAACAGTTACACATTTGGATGTGTTGAATGATTATTGCATATGAACTTAATTAAACAGTCTTTCACTTTATTTAGATAGTCCCTGAAGTACATGTTTAGATAGTAACTGATGAACATGCTCATCAGTTGATACATATTTGAATGTAAAGTAGATCGTCTGTAGACCGTCAACTAATCTCAACTTGTGTTTCACTTTATTTGGAAATCAGTAAATACACACTGTGTGTGCGTGTTTGTGTTTGTATGAGAAAGTGTGTGTGTAAGATGGAAGGGAGAAGGAGGTTGAATTATGGTCCCCTATTGTTCCCGATTCGGGAACAAGCACACACAATAATATAGCGATTAAATTAATTACCTCGGGTTTTTTGTTAATTTCATGGATGTTTCCTCTGCCTCCCAAGCCCCATGAGTCACACATTGTATTTTATAGGAGAACATGTACATGAACAACAGGAGCTGCCCATCAGTGCCTGCACTTCCTGTCAATATTGTCCTTTACTCACCCACTCAATTATTAATACCTGATGGATTTATCCTCGCCATGAAAATGCTTGAGGGAGAACACTGTACTGAAACAGTTTGGAATGAATAATTGTGATGTTATTATGTTCCATTCTGGGCTGGATATGTGTGACAAAGACTGGACAATTACAGGACTAGAGCAATTCCAGAAATTGATTCCAAACTTCAGTGTTAGCATTTCCTAGATCTATCGCCATACAAAAACAAGGTAATTGAGTACCATACAATTGGAAAATTGCAGTGTATGATTAGTTAGGGTTTCAGTCCCAACAATGTATTTTTTTACATGATCAGATTTGAGTGGGATTTGATTATATACTCTTTTTGTCTGTTTTTCTTCTATCTTATGTCCTTGATGTAATGAAAAGCAATGTCTGTAGAGCCAGGTGTGTGAAACGAATTGACATAATTACACAGAAATTGCTTCATCCTCACACAGCAGTTTTTGTATGGTCAGACTGAAGGCCATTAATGTAGGTGGAGGAAGCATTTGACACACACATTGAAAGCCATTTCTACCATAGCCTTGGGAGAGAGGAAAGGGTCCTACAATCATGGGTCTATTTTCTATTTCCTTGTTACCTGTCTTGTGTATGGAGATATAATGTAGAATGTTGTGGGAGTCTTGCGAGGTCAGCCAGCTGCACAACTACAAGTTTGCATACCAGAACATGAAACTAAAGAATTAAGCCTTCCAGCGAATGGCAAGTGAACAAACCATAATAGGGCTTAGATGTGAGGAGGCCCAGTTCCCTGTCTTCATGACAGTGTTTTACAGAGTAAGGGATGAATACGAAGTACTTCACCACAAAATGCAAACACTCAGGGCTGCACTTTCTACAAAGCTACCACGGCCAACCAAACCTACACCAGGAGACAGTTCAGGTCCTGAGCCTAATATATATACAGTATATGCCATTTAGCAGATGCTTTTATCCAAAGCAACTTACAGTCACACATGCATACATTTTACATACAGGTGGTCCTGGGAATTGAACCCACTATCCTGGTATTGCAAGCACCACGCTCTACCAACTGAGCTATAGAGGACTCACGCAAATGTTCGACCTTCAATCAGAGATGAGGACATGTTCACCAGACCTTGACATTGTGTCTGTGCTCAGAGAGTGCATTAGCTATATTTGTGTGTGTATCTAACAGTGAATAATAATATGTGATGTTTATCATGTATGCTGTTGGAGATAAAGTCATGCAGGAGTTGTTATTGAGTTAATTGCTTATGCATTGTCATTTCTAGCCACCAGCCAGTTTCGTCACTGCTAGCTACATCCAGTTAGCAAGACTAACAACTTTTGTATGTGTCATGACCCAGGTCTAGGGTGAAGAGGGGATGGAAGAATTTAGCATTTTTCAAACATTTCAGTCATTATGCCTAATTCTATGTAAAAGAAAAAAAAATATGTCGATTTTTCTGCATAGATTATCAAAGCAGACCTCTTTACCTGTTCAATTGTCATTGAACATTTTGACAAAATGTAGATTTCCGCCTAAATAGACATACCCAAAAGTAAATATTTTTTGCAGCAGGTAGCCTAGCAGTTAAGTGTGTTGGGCCAGTAACGTGAAGGTCGCTGGTTCGAATCACCAAATCAACAAGGTGAAAAATCTGCCGATGTGCCCTTGAGCAAGGCAGTTAACCCTAGTTGCTATGGATAAGAGCATTTGCAAAATGACTAAAATGTAAAATACATAAACAAGTAAGGGATAATCAACAAGGGGCTATGCGTTCTATAAATGTAATGTGCTAGTGGAGTGAAACTGACTTTCCACGGAGTTGCATTATTTTTCAGTGAACTCATCGAGCCACGAGTTGCATTATTTTCCAGAGAACTCATAGAGCCATGAGTTGATTATCCCTTTTTACCATGGCTATAATTTAACACATTTGCCGCTATACATTTTTTCATTTGCAGGTAGAAATATGTTCAACATCCACTGAAGTAGCTAGCAAGTTTACTAGATAGCTACAATAGTTGCCTTGGTAACCAAACAAACAGACTTGTTAGTTTAGCTAACCAAACCATCAGTCCTAGCTTGCTATTATGAAAAAAGAATTAAACAATGCCAATGCCTCCCGAGTGGCGCAGTGGTCTAAGGCACTAAATCGCAGTGCTAGCTGTGCCACTAGAGATCCTGGTTTGAATCCAGGCTCTCTCGTAGCCGGCCATGACTGGGAGACCCATGGGGCGGCGCACAATTGGCCCAGGGTAGGGGAGGGAATGGCCGGCAGGGATGTAGCTCAGTTGGTAGAGCATGGCGTTTGCAACGCCAGGGTTGTGGGTTCGATTTCCACGGGGGGACAGTATGAAAAATAAATAATGTATGCGCTCACTAACTGTAAGTCGCTCTGGATAAGAGCGTCTGCTAAATGACTTAATTGTAAGATGTTTTCAAATCGACTTTTGCTTTCAAAAGCAGCTCAAACATAGAACATGTAAGAATGAACTATAGCAATTGAATTCGAACGTGCT